GCTTATGCTTGTCTTAGCGTTGCCACGCGTCAGCTGCACATTCTGCCAGCATCTGAAGCCAAAGGGAGAGAAACTGACGGAAGTGCTCCAGGAAGGGCGGGGGTGGCCTCGACTTGCGGCACATCTCGACATGACAAGTCGTGGTGACAGCAGAAAACAAGGTTTCGATACTGACCTTCAATGTGTGCTACGAAATTCTCCCCGCCCCAGATCTATCCGACTGTTACGCATGAACAGGTGCAGGACCTCAGGCGCAACTGGGTCGGCCGTGTCCCCATTAAAAACCTCTCTTGCTTCTGAGCATCTCGTCGGCCAGCTTCGGTCCAATGTTCTTCAAGAACCTGGATAGATCCCGCCTTTCCTTACGGCACAGAGTCGAGAAGCGGACTTGCATTAGCGAAGGCCGAGGCCGAGCTTGGAAGACGAGCGTCTGCATCGAGGCTCCGTTCTGCAAGCCCCACCTCCGTCTCTGCGGATCGCGCGAGGAGGTCCTGTCACGCTCAACCAGGCGAGTCGCACATGCCTCTGTCAACTCAAGGCCTCCAACTCATTGGCCAGAAGCTGAAACTGCCTGTGCCACACACCATGCCACACCCGAGCAGCACAGTGCAGCAGTGTCTGCCTGGCCAGGTTTTCTTTGAACAGCTGAATCTGCGCCGATCTTTGCTGCAGGTCATAGCCTGGCACTGTCAAACTCACAGCGGTCAAATACAAGGTATGCCATTGCTTTGCCGAGTCGCGATACTGAGCCATCTGACAAACGAGTCGCCACAAGCCTGAGGGGTTTCCTTCACTAGGCCCAACCAATTGCCGCATCTCGCGCATCTCGCTTATAGAAACACGGTAGAAAAACTCCGCACAAATATGGAGAAGGCCCACGCTTGTTTCAGCCTCCGCCTGATTCAAAACCGACAACTCTCGCTCCTGTGGATTGCTTTTGCTCCGTCTGTTTTACAAGAAACTAGCCAGTGTGAAAAAGGTCTCCACCTGATTCGAGGAAACTACAGCTGTTTCTAATTTGCTTGTTGTGTAAACCACCCCGCAATGGAGGTTGTTCAAGTCCTTGCAAGTCAATCAAAGAAGAGCTGTCCCGGCCTCACTAGTCCTCACGTGCAGGTTGCAAAGAGCCCAGTGCACTCCACCGTCCCTTCTACTGCCACTCCCAAAGCAGTGCACGCATCAGCGCCTTGCACCTGGCGAAGTTCTGTCCCACCAAACATCGCCAAGCCCATTGATATCAGAATTTCGCAAGTTTCAGTTCCTCTACCATGAGCAGCCTTTTGACAACAACAGTCTTGCCTCACCTCGCTGTCTCCTAAAAAAACCGATTCGTCAGCTGACCAAAGCCGTAAGGGCTGTACTGTGCAGAGAGAATACCCCTGATGTGACCAAGACTGCGAGGTAGGCCGTGTTGCGATGACCTGAGCGTGATATCGATGCATGCATGGCTTGCAATTTACACCTCCGATCCAACTGCACGAGCACACCAGCATGTGACGTTTCCGCATTGGCCATCCCAGCAACGGCTGCTTAAGGCTTTAAACAATAGCTTGTGGTTGTGCTTGCTTTTCAACAAATGACACAACCAAACCAGGCGGCTCCAATGTCTGCAGTCTTCCAAGACTCGGCTGATGAGCACTGCCTTGCACAGGGCTGCCACAGGAGTCAGAGGCCAGACTCGTTTCTCTGCTTGCATTCCCTATCAGGCCCTATCGGCTGAAGGGAAACTTCCATCGATTGTGGTCTTCGGCGATGCCCTTTCTGCGCCGGCGGCTGCGATGCAGCCAAAAGCCAGTAGTCAGTAGTAAAGGAACCCTAAAAAGCTCAAGGACCTCAGGGTATGCCGAGCTGCATTTGTTGTAGTGCCCACCACAAGAACAAGATGTGGCAAGCCTCAGCCCGACCGAGCGAACATGATGGAACGTAGGCGAACCCTTCAGCCTGCCTACATCTGTAGTAACTGCGCGCTGAGCTGAATGAAGCCAAATCAACTTTGATGCGTGAACCTGGCCGTCATCCTACCAAACCTGCCCACTTGGGCCCTGCGGAGTGCATGTTTAATTTCACGCCTGGTTGCTCTGAATGATTCGCAGATGACGTGGCACGAACCTGAAACATACGGGTAGGCCGCGGACGATGCACACGGAGGGCACCAATCCGCAGCATTCAAGACCGAGCGATGCGGGAAACGTCACATTTCAACAAGCTGAGAGTGCAGGAACTTCCCCTGGCGAGGTGCTCGTGTCAAATCTCATGGACAATTACAATTGTAGACCCAAGCAGCTCGTATAAAGATGGGCTCACAAGGCCCAGAAACCAGAAAGGCTCCAGTGGGAAGAAGAAACCTCAGGCTGACGAATGGATACACTAACAACTCAACTACATTAATTCAAGGTTTCGAACTTCACACGGCCGTGAATTTGCATAACTTGGTCTCCGCAAGAAGACAAACATATGCACAGTGAAACGTTGCATGCGAAAGCCCCTGACTGCGGCCCCGCTCCTCGGGCAAGTTCGTCGACCCAGACGAGATGCAACCTCACTAGTTTGTTGGATTCTACATGCCTGCCATGAGGTCAATCTTCAAAAATGCGCAGGTACTCTTAGAGGTTAAGAGCTTTTGGCAGTCGTGACACAACATGTGGCAACACAGTCGCGAAGTAGTCTGGCATTTCTTTCGTAGATTCCGTCTTAGGTGCAGCCGGCAATGCAGTGGCTGATGAGAATTCTGCCAAGCGTCCGTCCGAGCCTGGCAATCTTATATACCAAAGCGTTGTCGATTTCGCTGATTGCACAAATCTCAGTAAGCTGCAACAACTGAGAATGCCGTCTTTAAAGTCCACAAAATTCAAGATTTGTTCCTGTGTCCTATGTGTGGAGTATTGTCGGAGGGGCACAGCGTCCGGTGGAATTTGACCAAACATGACCAAACACATAATTAGTCACATAACCTTGACATCACATGCACTTGCACCGGATGCACCGGCTGCATTCTTTTTGCACCAAGCAGGGCCTGTGGATTCGAGGCGACACAGACAATGGCAAGGAGTGCACGTGATTCCGACATATTCCGACTTTCGCGGTCCGCATGTTTAGATTCAGTACAGGCGGCGCACAGCCAACGTTTACACCAACACAGCTGGGTGGGCGGGCGGGAAAAAGCTCAATGATGTAGCTGCACACAGTCAGTCTGCAGCAGGATTCAGCATCAGCTCGTCATGCACACATGAATTCATTCCATGCCTACTCAGACATGACAAATGAAGCACAGAATGCAAGAACACAAGATGCTGTCATGTGAGAGTGAAGGCATACTTGTTCCTGCGTTTTCCCGGAGGGGCGCAGCGCACGATGGAAAATGACCATTCGCAGAATGAGTTGGGATCTGAACTGCAAGCGATGAGGATGATACAGATACGACTGCCGAGTGCAACATCACATTCACCTGCTCCAGAGGGCACTCTCTGACGGAGCTTTCGTCCAGAAGCCACTGTCCACGGCACCCACAAATAATCTGTAATTGACTTGCAGTTCCAGGGCCAAGCAGCATTGCATTCAGGCGCATGCCAATGTAGACCCAAACATGGAGCTAGCAAGCTTCTTCACCCTTCTCACATAGACATAACGCGACTCGCATCCCAACTTGGCCACATTGCTTTCCATAAAGCTTAAGATCGAACACCGTTTGCCAAGCCAAAAAAGTCCACAGTTAATATGGACTGACACATCGACTTTCGCAGTCACAGACTGCTCGCAGAGATAGTCTTCAGTCGCCCGCGAGTGCTTCGCGGGCTTCGCGCTGAATTCAACAACAGGGTGGTTGGGAGGCTCAGCTGGCGCACAAAGGCACCTTCAGTATGACATCCTCCAAGATCGCCGACATTGACATTGTGCTAGACTCCCAGCGCAGCCGAGGCAGAGTATCCGGTGCACCCCGTACCCGGGCATTGGAGATCAGCCCTTTGGATTGTGTCATCGTTATCACACATCTCCTCCGTGTGTCCGTCTGCTGCCTATCAGACCGGCGCGCACGCACCCGAACAGCGAACGTCGAGGGGAGTCTGGCTAACAATGGACCAATGGAACCCTCGGCCTCTCAAAAATTCAACCATGTCGCTGCACTGTCAAAATTACAGCAGGATTCAGCATCAGCCCGTCATGCACACGTGAACCGTTCCATGCCTGCCAAGACATGACAAATGGAGGGCACAGGGTACAGGACACAGTTCTCTCATTCCTCTCACACGAGCGTGAAGCAGGCATTTCTTATCACGACATCCAGGTTCAACTGACGCCACGCGGGAGCTCCCCGGACACAAAGTCGGTCAAATCTTCGCTGGACATCGTCCAAATCCCCCTGCTGTACCTGGCTTCCTCAAGCACTACGATGGAATGGCGATGGCGATGAAATGACATAGACATGAACACAAATGAACGGAGAGATCGACTTGGTTGAGAGGTGGGCTGGTCCCGGCACATGCGAGTAAGCATCATCTTGATGCAGAAAGACGAAAGCGGGCTCTGCCGACTCGGGAACGACGCGGAATTGGCTTTATTCATCAGTTCTGGAAGTGCTCTGGACGAAGGAATGCCGGTGTGAGAGGGTGCATGTGAGAATCTCTGAGAATGCAGGGTCGTCAATAGCCCAGTGACAACAGCTGAGCGAACTGAGTTCGTCGTGCCTGCGGCGCTGCCATAGCTGGCCCCGACTGCGGGGTTCAAGTGCTGTTGAGGCAGCTGCTGCATGCGCAAGGCCGCAGGATCAAATACCTTAGTGTTTTCAACTGGCATTTCGGTCCACGGAGTCTGAAACTTGCTCCGAAACTCAATCCAAGCAGCGTAACCAGTCCGAATCTCGGACGTGAGTCCTGACTTAGGGTGGACCGTGCGAAGACCATATTTGGTTCAGATCTTGAGCCGAGATCGCAACGAGCAGTAAGGGTGTCAATTGCAGCACACTGACTGGTCACCTGACAAATGCTTGCATCTCAGAGCCGTGCGCGACCGATGGGTGAAGCATTTAGGCAACCAGCCAAGCTCCTCTAGCATAGCTGAGCGAAAGCGCAACACTTGCTTAAGCAGCCTTAAGCAAGAACAAACATTTTTGCTACTGGACTTAAAGTCTAACTACAACCTGAATGCGCAACCCTGGTGCTCCGCCATGCCCTCCAGCTGATACGCATTCGCGGCCTTCGAAGCTGGGAGACTCCAAGTCGCCTACAAGATATGATGTTACCGAGATGTAGATGCCGCATGTAAGCATGCTCAGAGGCCATCTGGTCTCGATAATCCATGATATCAGGTCAGGCCCTGAAGTGTCATGGATGACCGCACAAACGACACTCTTGATCTACGGTTCATGCCCATAGAAGGCTGCTGTAACTGCAACGGCTTCCACGGGCGAACCCACACTTTCCGTCTTGAATGAAGCAGACAAGCCGCTTGCTCGCACCTCGTGGGTGCTGAGCTATCTCTCAAGCAATGCATGCAATGCCCAAATGCGCTTGCACATGCTTGCACAATAAACTAATCCATGAATCGTGAACTGACCAATGTTGCTGACGGCCGCAGACAACACCTGGGTAGAGTTTGCACTGCACGACTGGCACAATAGCTCTCTCTCAGTCATGCCGGCATGTCGTTTGCGATGTCAGCGAAGCACAGGTGCACTGTTTGCTGCTTAGCCACAACCCAACTTTTCACGAGACCTCCCCCGGTGGCTTCTCCAACTAGTGTCAGCGTGCCGCTTCGCCAGTTCCTGCGGCAGCGATCAAGAGCTGACTCTCTCGGGCCGTGCTAAGACTGCTAAGAGGCATGTGGTGTCTTAGTTCTGGTAGTTCTTGTACTGTAGTTCAGTCGTTTGCTGTGAGCTGGACGTGTCATGGTAATATCTTGATGCAACCCAAATGTACATAACAAATTCAATCATGCCAGTCGTAGCAGGGGACGAACACCGAACTTGTTGAAGTTCTGGGAAGACACGATCCCAACACGGATAGCTCCCCGCAAACAACTACATCCAACCAGAATTCCCCTCCCAGGTCCCGAGTGCGCAAATGAATACAGGCGAAGCAATGCGACCAAACGACACCAACACGACAACCACTGCTGCACAAAATCGCTCTTTTCCGCGACTAGAGGACCTGTGTTGTCTCGAAGGTCTTGACTCTTGACCACATAAAGAAAGCCGGAGCATGAGTAAGAACCGATTGGAACGAAACTGTTCCAGATTGATAACCCCAAGCCTCAGCCGCATGCCGAACCACAGCATGCGGTGTTAAAACAAGCTGGAAGAACACGAACATGGCTGCTGAAAAAACCAAGAGTTGGGGGCACAACATGACATAACATAACATGATATAACATGCGTAAGAAGGGCTCCACGACGAACACAATGTCACTATGTATTGTGACACTAGTTCGGCAACGATGGCAACAGCGATTAAGCATGCGTCCTCCATCGAAGCTTTGCTGTGTCTGTCTGGATGCCTGGCTATGCAAGCACGACAGCAGAGAAGCCTTTGGGGATGGCAACGCCCTGTATCAGTATGTGTCAGCCAAATCCGACGGCTGTTGCGTAACATCGACAGGGCACTGCACTCGGCCGCAGAATGCTGAAGAGTTGGGTGGACTGCCAAAGCAAGCAAGCGACCTACCCCAACGAAGAGTGGGAAGACATACGAGGCAATCACGAACATCATAGCCAAGCAGAGGGCCTGCAGTCCATTGCATGTGGGACTCGCATGGATGCATGCATCTCCAGTGTTTGTGTCATCTGCATACCAGCGCAACTCGTCGTAAGCCCAAACAGCTAATGAATTAGCTGTTTTAACAAGTCTTGAACCAGCTCAGCAAGGAGCACAATTAGCTGCCAATCAATGGCTTGCGCGCCTGCGGGAAAACCCGCCGCGGATCGCGGACTTCACCGGCAAGTGTTGATGCACTATCCCAGTAATTCAAATTCCAGAAAAGAACATTCCTTGCGTTGTCGAGATTGGCCGTGGAAATCCAGGCCAACAGTTGCGTGCTCTGAATCAACTTCCAGCTCGAGCAAGAAATTGAGCGTATCACTGCGTGTCTGCATCCAAGGGTCAAGTACTTTTGCCAATCCATCTCTTGAAGTCTTGGCCTCGCGCAGCTTCCGTTTGTGACAGGCGCAAGGCCCCGGCAACGAATGCACCCCCAAAATTACACTTACCATTGTCAGATTCGGCACACAACCAAGAAGTTCGCCTGGGAATAACATGCACCGGCTGACGAGAAACACAGGGTTGACACATGCGACTTTGACGTTCCCAAAGCAATCGCAAGCGTGGAGTACTTACTTGTAGCATGACTCGCTGCAACCTGATCGCCAGTTCCACTTCAGGCAAACCAGCTGGAACTATGTACAGGAATGGCAGAATCGTAAATATCGCCAAACCCACGGCTGACCTCAGTCTTCTTGCAGTGGCGGCTATGCAAAAGCAGAATCCAGAGCTTGACCACAACTCGCTCAGGCAACAGATCCGTAGCACGTGACCAGCCCATGATGTTCAAGCCAGCGTAGTTCAGCCAAGACAAAGCCAACGCGAATGCGATTGCACATAATATTCCTCAGTGTCGCGACTCGCCATTCTTCAGAAAAACGCTCGAAAGACTACATGAGACTGAAAGCCAATTCTCCTGACAGCTAAGGGTCGTGGTGTCCCATCGGCCGTCGCCGGGAGGATATGCTTCAGGTAGTCGCAGAACAAAACCTATGCCACCGCAACTGCTTGTAACCCTTACATGACTGTGCCCCACCCATGCTGCGAGGGTCAGAGAACATGTCGGGATGTGCCGAGGTGCCGGGTAAATTGAGTTGTCACTCACACCAGCCACCCATGACAAGAAACCTTCCTGAAATGACAGAATGACACTGTGATTTTGTTGTGCTGCATGGCCATACTTCTTCAGACGGGTGTTGTTGGCACGTGTGCAGCTATGTCTCCAGGAATCCCCAGAATGGCCCGAAGGCGGCCTCGGCATCCGACGTCGGTAGCACTGGGTTGGTGCATTCGGCACCAATACGCGATGAATGTAACGATGCGCCTCACAACACTGCTTGCCTTGCAACCGGAGGCTTAAATGGAAACTTGTCGGTTCATGTCGCGAGTTCATGGTTTGTTTATGTTTGTTTGGACTCTCCGACTCTCAGGTTCGGACATCACCAAGCGAACTGCCAGGATTTAGTTGGAGGCTCTGCGACATGCACCCGGCAACTACAAGTAAGCCACCAGTACCGCTGGTTCGGCTTGGGCTTCGCAAATGTCAACACATTGCGCCGCTTTGTCATTGTGCGGCCTTGGATGCATGAGCCCACGAACCCCAGGTCGTTTCCACTTGTGCCATACCTTGCTTGATTTTCTTAGTAGTACTACAGAATATTGGGTTGCGGTTGCGGAAAGGGACGTTGGCAACTCGGATGCTTTCCGATGAAGCTCTGTGCATCCGGAAGATGGGTTTCTCGACCCTCTTTCTGCAGCCTGCGCCTTCCGTACACTCCTCAGTCTAGTCCGGAGATACTGCATGTTTCGACTATGTTCGACCGGCTGATTGTGCCATACAATCCTCCATGTTGGAAGATGTTGGAAGGTATCCAAAGCTTGCAGCATATGAACCGATGCGACAATGAATGCTCCCAAATTCAAGATGACATGCTGTTTTACTTGACAGGCGGGCAGGCCACGACACACACCCACACATGACCGGCTAGTTTCACGATCTGTCTTGTGAAATTTAGCAGCAACTTTCAACTGTATGGTGCAACGGTGCTGCCGCATCCAAGTATGCTGTTTGCCTGTGCTGCTGCAAGTGCCGGCGCGACCGTCAGTATGTCTTGCGTGCTGACTGACTGACTGATGGTCGTGCTACGACAAACATGACAAAATATGAATACAACATCTACCGTAGCAGAAGTTTGGGCCGGGCCAAGCAGGAAGATGTGGTAAGGTCATGTACCATCAGGGCATCATAAGACAGAACCTCTGGTTTTAATCATCTCTGCAGCCACCACGGCCGTTCACGGATTTTGTCACCGACGGTGGTGGAGGATTTTTTTGAGCTTCCATCTTGCCTGGTTGTTATTGACCATCCCGTCCGTGCCGTTCGCAGGCCGGGTTTCGTGGCCATCCTGGAAAACGTAGTAAGTAACTTCAAAAAGATTTTCATTGTTGCTTTTGTCCGCTCTTCAACATGCATATACATGCATCGCATGGCAATCATGGAATGCCAAGGTGCTGTAACCCACGTTACATAACCAGCATTTGATGGGAAAGCCGTGGCCAACTCCGCTGCCACAAGAGCCTCGCAAAAACACTGAAGCTGTACGTGTGAACATCAACTTAATGAATGGCTTGCCTCTGGAACCGACCATACTGCTGGCATCAGCACGAAGCCGAGCACACCCAACAGCGGACCTGCAACAATAATCGCACTATATCGCACTTGCGCATGTCACAAGCTCGTCACTCAATCATGGAACTGGATTTTTTTACTGAGCTGTTGTCTTGCCATGCAAGGTTCGGCAACTCGTGAACATTCAGGTTCGGAAGGCTCCGAAACCTGGGAGCTTCCGAAGAAATGGTGCCAAAGGTCTCGGGCATCAATTGCGACACAGGGTCCACGTCCGAATGAAAATTATTGGTGAATAAAATGCTTGGTGATGCCGGTGCTTTGCAGCACCCACCTTAACACCGAGGATGCTCGCCCGTGATATTGTTTTACATCGTCAGCCACGATAGCATTCAGACTTCTCCCCAGGGAAGCTGTCGCGTCCATAGCGTAAGGCCCCCATGCAACCACAGTCCACTGCTATGCTACGGTTCTGCTCTGACTCGATGTCGAAAAGTTCGGGACATCGCGGCAAGCACCGAGGCGGCGATCGCGGGTGCCTGCCCGCAGCTTGGCACAGCATTCAGTACATGGAGCACGTCATTAGGACCACTTCGTTGCCACCTGCTGCTGGCAGGAGGCATTCCGCGTACTCGATGGATTCAAAGGATGATCTTCGGAGTGCTTGACACCACCCGCCACAGCTCCAGGAGCTGTGAGGAACAGACTCGGGGCACAAAGCCTGTGTCACCTGCGCGGACCCGGCCAAATGGCCCTCTGATGCCTCTTCCAAACCCGTCATCTCGGCTGAGAATCGGGGTTTGGGAAGAGGCGGTGGTGGCAGCACTCACATCGCGGTGGGCTCGAAAGGCGCTTCAAGACACTCAGCACGAACGCAGCATGGTGCCGGGTTTGGGTCGGCCCCGCGAGGATTCTGGATTCGGGGACGTTGACGTGCACCCAGCGACCTTTGTACGCAGCTTGTACGTGACTGGTCGGGCGCTGGACCTTCGAGCATTCATGCACAACATTGCGCAACTTTTTTCTTAGCCGCTGTGCGCCTGTGGCGTCTATTCCGGTAAAAAATCGATAAAGCGCCCCGTAATAGGGCAGCCGCGAGCGGCCGACGGCGGCGCGCACAGCGCGACGCATGGGCGACGCCGCCGCACGTGCCAACTACGGTAAATTTTTTCTTCTCACAGTAAATCTTGGCTGTAATCGCCGCTGGTGGTGTTAGGGAGCGAGGTTGGAGGTCGCTGGAAAGTGCTGGAATGCCGGTGCGCAGCAGCTGCTCCGGGATCTAGTCCGCGTCCGTGCCCAACGAGCTCCGCCAGCCATGCGAAGCGTGGCGTCCGGCTTGGGCCAGGCCTTGGTGGGCCATGCCGCCGGTAGTGTCGGGTCAGCAGGCCATCACAAGCACAGCCCTCGGGTCAGCGTGGCCGTTGACCCTCCGCGCAGTCGACCCCGTCGCTGGAACGTCTTCTCGACCTAGCTGACGCAGCGGGGTCGAGCCACCTGCCACTCCGCGGCCCGTATAGAAACGTCGTAGTGAGGGCAGCTGCGCTGTGTGTACAGCGTACAGCAGGAACCCTGCAGGTCACGCACACGCAAAACAGGCGGGGGAAAAAAACCCCAAATGCGGGATTCGACGACGTCGACCACCCAGCGACCCTTGTACGTGACTGGTCGGGCGCTGGACCTTCGAGCATTCATGCACAACAGCTTGTGCGCCTGCGGCGTCGATTCCGATAAGGCGCCCCGTGTTCCGTCAACGGAATATGTGCCTCCGGTTATGACACCCGGTACCCTGCAAGTGCTTGGATTCCAGGAAATGTCTATTTCGTGAGTTTGAGTGTGAGGTTGAGTGTGAGCGAAAGTGTGACTGACCATGAATGGGCCAGTCAGAGCCCCCCCCTTAAGGGGGGGAGGGGTGGGGGGGTGGGCGAGGGGGGGGGGGAAATAGGTGGCATACCTATTTCGATGTTTTTCATATGTTGGGGGGCTTGGGGGACTGTAGCGCAGAAGGTTGTGTGCTGAGTGGCTCAAGTTTCGGGTTGAGCGTGCGAAGGCGACAGCCTACTACTAAGGTATGTACTTCTAGCCCACCAGCTATGGCGTCGCCTAGAAGCCTTCCCCAAGCCTTGTAAGCCAGGAATAAATAGGTGGGAAAAGGTGGGGGGACCGTAGCGTGCAAGAGCCTTGCGCCTCGTAGGCGACCCCCAACCCCCCCTTCGACTCCACCTATTTCTCCTTGACGCTGGACTCCTTGCTATACTAGCCTACTACTCAGGCAAGTTCTTGGAGCTAGCCTATTTCTAAAAGAGGTGCAGCTCGCCCAGCAGCTATGGCCTTGCCTAGAAGCCTTGTTAGCTAAGAATAAATAGGTGGGAACAGGTGGGGGGACCGTAGCGTGCAAGAGCCTTGCGCCTCGTAGGGGACCCCCAACCCCCCTTCGACTCCACCTATTTATCCTTGATGCTGGACTGCCCATGCAGATAGAGGGCTGTCATGCTGCTGTTCTAATCATTTCCCACCTATTTCCAAACCACCCCCCACTGTAGCAAAATAGGTGGCGGAAATAGGTGGCACCGGGGGTTACCCCCCCCCCATTCTCACTATATTAAGGGGGGGGCTCTGGCCAGTCACACTCTGGATCCCGCTCACACTCCCTTTCACACTGCCGCTCACACATTCTTCCTGTAAAACACAGCAAAAAGTGTGAGCGGGAGTGTGAGCGGAAGCGTGAGCATGAATGAGCCACTCACACCCCGGATCCCGCTCACACTCCCTCTCACACTCCCGCTCACACTCCGGCTCACACATTCTTGCTGTAAAACACAGCAGAAAATGAGCGGGAGTGTGAGCGGAAGTGTGAGCACGAATGGGCGACTCACACGCCCGCTCACACCCCCGCTCACACTTCCGCTCACACTCCCGCTCACACTCCCGCTCACACTTCCGCTCACACTCCCGCTCACATTTTTACAGCAAAAAGTGTGAGCGGGAGTGTGAGCGGAAGTGTGAGTGGGAGTGTGAGCGGAAGTGTGAGCATGAATGGGCCTCTCACACTCCCTCTCACACTTCCGCTCGCACTCAGAATCCCCGCTCACACTCAGCCTCACACTTCCGCTCACACTCTCGCTCACACAAAACCTCACACAAATAATGTTTTCAGACCATCCCAAGGGTTGCACGGACTGGGTCCCATAAGCCTCCGGGCACTCGCGCATGGCCGACGGTGGCGCGCACAGCGCGCGACGCATGGGCCGCCGCCTGTGCCAACCACAGTACATCTTGGCTGTAATCGCCGCTGCCTCCGGCAGGCGCAGGAGAGCTTCAAGAGGCGGCGCTGGAACAGAATCGGTTTTCCCGCGAGTCGAGTCTGCCAGGAGGCTGGGACATACGCTTTGCCGACATGAATCTCCCGGTCCCGTAGCCATAGTTTGCAACCTTGGCACGGGGCCCAGCTTGCCGTCGATACCACTTGCGTCAGCCGCGTCACTCGCCCCGGCACCCCGCGGCAGGGGGCAAACCTGCCTCCGGACCTCAAAAGGGAGGGCTTGGCACAGGCGATGGGAGCGACAGACGGATTTTCCAGCGCTGGTTGGGCTGGGGGCAGCGACGGCGTCTTTTCATGAAACATCGGTGACTCTCCACATCCTTCCACACCGAAAACAAGCAGCACTCAGGATCATTCGCAGAAAATTGAAAAAAACAAGTAACTGGTTGTCGTTTCATTCGAGCATTGCTGAGCTTGCAGACAACGCGGGAAATCTGCAGGAATGACAGCGGACGTATCTTTGTGCCGGTGTGGATGTGCATGGACGACGCGGGTTTCACTGCACAAGCTCTTGGATTCAGAATTCTGACGTTTCCAGCAGACAAATCCAAAAAAACCTGGATCCAAAGCTTTTGAACGGTATGAACAGTACACAACTGTTAAAGAAGTGGGGGAAGCCAGCTCAAAAGGCGCGCAGTGGCAGGATCTGTCTACCGATTTCGAGAAGGAGTTCATGAAATTTGACGACGACAAGATGGACACGCAGCTGCAAACGACTAGAGCTGCACCCGAATAAACACCAGACAAAAAAGCTGCTGCACGCTGTACATAAGCAATCAGCGAGGGATGCAGCACCCAGAGCTTTGTCAACAGACCTTTTCGGAACCCAGCACCACCAGAATAGAGATTAGTGTGGACACGTTGACGGCATTGCGTGGCATGATGCGAGAACAATTTTTGCAGCTTCAAAATTCTATGGGCCGTAGTTTTGACGACCGTGTTCTGCAGCTTCGGGATGAGTTGACAGCAGAGAGACATGCACGCCTGGAGTTGGAAGAGCGTGTGTCGCGTTTGGAAACGACACCACCCAAACAAACTTTCCGCGCTGATGACAACGAAGATCGCACAGTGGCAGTCATCGGCAGGTTTGGTGAGCAAGGGCCAGAACAAGCAGAAGCCTTGGTCAAAGAGGTTCTTGCTGATGTGACGGGTGTCGTCGATACCTATACCACAAGCCCCAACCCATCCCAACCCCGTTGCGGCATTCTCTCAACTCACCTCCACAAACTCCATGCAGAAGTTTGTCCACACGCAGAAGAAGCACGAAGGCATGAAGATACGAAAATTATGGGCTGCAGCAAACAAACCCGCTGCCGAACGCAAGCGCAGCAAGATTGCGAGTAAGATTAAGAAGTTCTACATTGAGTTGGATGGTTGTGCTCCAAGAAGTATTTTTGTGAATTGCAAAACATTCCGTGTTTCAGTCCGGACCCGCACAAAACTTACACATGCAGCAATACGTTGCGCAAGATGGTGTCGTAGAGTGGCCTACACAGGAGGGACCCTTGAGTGCCGAAGTTCGCGATGCCATGAAGGACTTTCCTGCAGATCTCGAGTAAGGACTAAGTTGTGGCCAACGAAGGGTGAGGACACGCAATGAGGCTGAGCATCAATGATCTTTTTTATCTTGTAAGCATGCGGCCGATGCGACCACAACAGAATTCATGGATGTGCATGTGAGTTATAAAAACGCACAGAGCATTCGTCATCAAACAAGATTTTTTTTTCTACACACCTTTTTCCAGC